TGAAGTTCATCTCGGTCTGGCGCGCTTGCCTGGTGAGCCTTCGCTGCCGGTGGCCCTTCCAGATCTGCGGGGAGGAGCGCAGCGAAGCGAGGGTTCTTCGGGGGCTGCGGCTGCAGGAGCCGCTGCGGCCCCCGGACCTTCCCCGGACCCTGCAGTGACCCTGGCAGCTGGAACTGCGGCCAAGCGCGGAGCCCAGAGAACGAGTCCTGGACTCGTGGGCGCCGCGGAGATCCCGAGTCTCAGAAGGCTTGGCACCCCGACGGAAACGGGCGGGTCGTGAAAAGCAGTGACTTAGAGCGTCGGGCCTGCCGGTTCTGTCAGGTGCCCGGGAATTTTCATGGAGTCTCAGTGAAGGGTTTGAAAGTGGATGGCAAAGACTGTCCGTTTAATCACAAATGGCGCCCTAGGCCATGCCCCCCTTCTGTTCAGGTGCCTGGGGCTCAGGGCCAAACCTGACCCAGCTCTCGGCCTTTTCGCACCACGGACTTCCCACCGGGGCCGACGTGCCTCGCAGCAACTGTCCTGTCCAAAGACTGGACTAAGGAGTGCTTGGCTAAAGCACCTAGAACCCCGCCCCTTCACCGGCTGCCGTGGCCGCTTTGGAGGCACAAGGATGCTCGTCTGATCCACCAGTAGGCCAGCCAAACTCCCATGGGCTGGCTTGGCAACGGGAAGCCTTTGGCAGCTGAGGAGGGTCAAAAGTTTCAGCCCAGTTATACCATCCTCGCAGTTCTTCCTCTGCTGCTGCTCTGAAGCACTGCTCTAAAAGGACGCACGGACAGGTGAAGTGTCAACTTTACTTGGAACGGCATTTTGTTCAGCCTCTAGGAAGACATTCCCTCCCAGAGGCTGACTTGGCTGTCTATCTCAGCAAAGCTTTGGCACGCACAGCACTCATCTGCTTGGCACTTACGTAGGGTCAGTGACATGCTGGATTCTCACTAGGTGGGAGTATGTAACCTATTACCCTTGGGCAAAAAACATTGGGTGCTGTGTTCAGAGCCCTGCAAAACTGTCCCCAAATTGTACTTTTCATGTGACTGAGAGGAAAAGTATTAAAAGATGGGGAATAATTCTTCTTATATACTGGAATTTGATTTTAATTATATTTAAATGTAGATAAAATCAGACTTAGTTTTTGTTGTGGCTGCAGTTTTGTTTTTGCACACCCATCATTATATGTCTAGTTTGCATAGCTCTAAATCCAGTTGTGTGTGAAGCAACACCAGGGAGTCAAGAATAGCTACATATGAAGAGGAAGACAGACAACTTCTGCATGAAGGAGGAGACTCTGAAGGAGGGACTAGACTCTTCTGAAGGAGAACCAGGAGCAGTTAAATCCAGTAGCCAATTTTGCACAGGAGCCGGTCCAGGCCTCTCCCTGCTTCTTGCCAGTTTCTGCCCTGTCCCCCCTTTGAGGACACCGGTGATTGGTTCGTTGTTCCTTATTTCACTTCGGGCTGGGAACCCCCCCTTCTTTTAAGCTAGAAATCAATTTGAGAAAGTTGCTGTGCAACCCACGAGCTGGCAGAAAGGATAAGGCAGAGGCTTCCTCAAAGCCCTTCACCCACGAGAACTCGAGTGGGGGGCTCTTGGAGGAAGGCAGAGGAAGCTTCCTGTCCTAACCAGCAAGCCAACAACAAGTCACAGGCTATAAATGCAGTAATAACAATCTGACTAACCAGGGCTTGGAAACCAGTAGGGCACAGCAGGCTCTTTATGGCTCGGGGAGATGTGCCAGCCTAGTCACCTCCTGCAGAGGTTGCCCCCCCATCCCATTTCAAGGTTTTCAGAGAGAGAACCATGGCCTCTTCAACATCTAGGTGGAAAAAGTAACAGCTGTCAAGTGACCACAAGGCGTTTCTGCCTAGAATATGCACGGAAAGAAGTGACTCGGTTGCTCCAGCCTACCATTGCTTGATCCCCAAAGATTGTGTCCACTGAAGAAGCCTACACTTTCCCTGATGTGTGCAGTATTTGGCATCATATCTAGGCAGGACTGTCCCTTCTCAGCAATCCAAGCCGCCTCTATACAGACAATAAATCTAATCTCCAGAAAGTTCCCTCCTCGCCCCATTATTATATTTCCTATCTGTAAAGCTCCAGAGTAGAATTGCAGATCAACCTGCTTTGTACAGAAGGAATTGCCTCCATCATTTAACATCGGTGCCTCCTTAGGAGGGAAACTGGGCAAATCCCCTCAAGGCTTTTGTCGTTGAGTAGGGGCGTCCCAGAAGCAGGGCCAGGAGACTGATGGGAACGGGGGCGGGGGGGGGTTCACTTGTGCCAAGCCCTAAAACGGGATGATTTGTTTTGGCATTAGCATTTCACGTGCAAACCCAGAGATTCTGGACTGGAAACAGTCTGCTTAGAATAACCTACTGTAGGAATAGGCCGTGCGCACAGCTGTCAGTAATGAAACATAAAAGGAAACGAGTGGATATTGGAGCAAAGCTTTTCACTTGAAAAATGCTGTGGAATGTACCACTGTTTTGGGGCAAAGGACTCCATTCAATTTAAGGTGCTGGTTATCGCCTTTAAGCCCTGCATGGCACAGGACCAGGTTATTTGTGGAAATGTCTCTCCCTGAGAGTATCTGCCTGCCCCACTCGATCAGAGAGGGTGGACACGCTCCAGGTCCCTTCCCTGAAGCCTTGCCATCTACTGGGACCCCCTCCCTAGCGACCCAGCAGGCCCCACCCTCGTATTCTTCCAGAAGGCCGTCAGGGCCTGGCTCTCCACCTAGGCCTGGGGTAGAGCAATGGGCGCCCGTGGACGGCTGTGGAGGCCACCTCGTGCCGGGCTTCCAGTCTGCGTGTAATGGCTGTGCAGTCTTGTGAGCCGCCCTGAGTGTGCTCAAAGACGGGTAGCCACGCGCATCGTTTCGAATGCACACATGCGCACTCTGTGGGCAGAATATTCCACTAGACTTGCAGAAGGTGTTTCATCCTCTTACCGTTGGCATTGGAACAAGAGATATTTTTAAAGGGGAAAAGTTCTAATGAGGGATCCGAAGGCGGGCTGGCTCCCAGCGATGTGGCAGCACCGAAGGGAACGGATGAAGCTACACGAATCCCAGGTATGCAAGTGTGGATGAAGAAGTGGGGGGAGGCCCTGAGGGTGAGGGGTGGGGGTGTGCAGAAGCAGGGAAAGAAAAGGGCTGGGCTGGGATTAGGGCTAGGAAGGGATTGTGTTCCTGGGGATGTTTTCTGCGTCTCGCTAGGATGGTCAGCTGGTTCTATGTAGGAATGTGCCAAGCACATTCCCTGCCCCAGGTAGCCTGTGGCAAAGCATGAGGCTTTGCCCGGCCCCGCTTCCCACAGAGGATCCACCCGGAGCAGCAAGAGACGACCGCCCCTTACCTTCTGGATGCAGGTGGCAGCCAGGTCCCGGTTGGGCTCAGCCGGGCCGCCCTCCCGCACTTTCCGCTCGCGCTCCTCATCCCTCCGGATCTCCCCCATGAAGTGAGCCCGAAGGCGGCCTTGGCGCATCCTCTCCGCCATCTGGATGAGCCTGACTGCCTCATCCCGCAGCATCAGGGGATGGGGGGGCTAGGAAAAGAGGGTCTAGTCAGGGGAGGGGCAGATGGTGGGTCAAGACACCAAACTGGGAAGGCCTCCACAGGTAGAGGTTGCAAGTGACAACTTGGTCCGTGGTGACCGGTCCTCTCCTGCCCCCTTCCCAGGGAGGGGGGCCCAGACACTCACAGTGATGGCCTTGCCGGGCCCCATGCGGGCCAGGAGTCCTGCCAGCACTTCCTGCCGCTCCTGCAGGACCTTGGCCCGTTCGCTCAGGAAGTACTTGGGGATCGGTACCTCTATCTCGGCCTGGGAAGATGAAGGAACCGGTGGAGGTGACCCTTCCCTCGAGCTGAAGCTCTGAATCCAGCACCAGCGCCAGTTCGCTCTGGCCACGTGCTCCAACAAGGAAGGCGGTCGTGCCATGGGGGGTGGGGAGATGGGGAGCCCGTAACTCTGCCGCCGCCAAGCCGAGAATCCCGTGGCATTGTAAGCGTTCCCGGGAGCCCCTTTGGCCCGAGTTTTTCCTTTCCTCCCTGTCTTGTCTGATGAAGGGGCTTTTGGAATTCAAAGCTTCCACGTGACATTCTGGTACTGAGTTGGACTAAGGGACAGCGCAGCTTGATTTGGTGACCGACACAGCTGCTGTTGTCTTTTGTATCATTTATATGATCTGTATCCTATCCTTCAATACGTTCCTAAGTTAAAATGGCAAAGTAGCGCTTTTAAAATGTAACATCACAAGACCACAGTCTAGTGCAATCATTAGCCTGCAGACTCCAGATTCGCAGAGGGACCAGGATCCAGGACCCAATGGTAGTCAAGCCAAAGCCCACACTTGCTCGGATGCCAATCTGAGTCCATAGCAAATTGGATTAAATTAGCAGGTCCAGGCCATGAATCGCTGAAGCGAGGCTCTCCTTGTCCATGAAGGACTCCAGCAGCATCTCTTGATTGCAAACCTTTATCTTTGGGGGAACTCAGTTGACCCTGACCAATGAACACCAACTGAGGTGGGTACCGCTCTGCTGACCGGCCTTGAGATCTTTTCTGCGGAGGGAAGCTGCTTCCATTTCAGCTTGGAGGGGATTACTGAGTGCAGTCCTCAGGGCTCTGTCCTGGGCCCTCTGCTGTATTAACATTTTTGTTAAAAGCCTGGTTGTTCTCCAAAGCCTTGGGGTAGGGTGGTGGTGGGGGAGGCATTCATTACATTTGTTATGTCTGTCGAATGGCCTGGTGTGTTGTTTTTCCGTTTGGCCAGGGTTCTTTTTACTTGTTTCTACCTATGTTATTTTTCTTTTTATTTGTAAGCTGTTAAGGAGTCAGGCGGCCTCTACATTTGGATGGATGGATGGATGGATGGATGGATGGATGGATGGATGGATGGATGGATAGATAGATAGATAGATAGATAATTTTTATTTCCTCAAGGATTTGGATGAGAGAGTTGAGGGATGGCTAATAGTTTAGAGGAAGAAGAGAAGATTCTGAAAGGTTTAGACAGGCCTGAGAATGGATTGAAATGAATGGGAAGGAACTGATGGGGAGAAATGTCAGTTCTGCATCTGAGTAGGCGAAATCTAATGAGGGCAACATGGTTTGGCAGCACTCCATGTGAAAGGGATCTGGGTGTCCTTGTTGACGACAAGTTTAACATGAGCCAGTGTGCTGCAGCTACTGAAAAGGCCAATGCCAACTTGAGATGCCTTAACAGGAGCACAAGATCCCGCTGATGGGAAGCACCGTTTGACTCTCCTCTGCCCTGATCTGAAGGCTTCTGTTTCTAGTCCTGGACACTGCGTTTCAAAAGGCAGTAGCAAATTGGCGCCAGTTCAGAGGAAAGCTACCACAGTAGTGAAAGACATGAAACCCAGCCCTCTGAGGACTGCTTAAAGGATCTGGGGACGCTGAGCTTGCAGAAGTGACCGAGGAGAGAGGAGGTAGCATCTGAAGGGCTGTCACGCAGGAAAGGGTTGCATTTGACCAGAGCCAGAGGGAAGCGAGGCTGGATGGCAGGAGGACCTTTCAGGCGGTACGAGCCGCCAGCCGTAGAACGGGCTGCTGCACAAAGTGGTGCGTTTTCCACTGGAGATCTTCAGACAGGTTGGATGGTGATTGGTCTGAGGTGCCCCAGTCAATCCTGCACCGAGCTGGGAGTTGGACTGAGTGACCTCTGTGGTCCCTTCCAACTCTCTATGATTTAACCCAGGCAGCCTAGCTGGAAGGACATCCTAGCTGAGAGACGCTGCTAGGAGACCAAACAAGAATACTGTGCTGCTTAGTGCTGCTAGATTGAAGAGATAAATAAATTTAATCCAGAGGGCTGTGATGTTTTCCCAAGGAAGGAAATGTTAAATTCTGAGTCTGAGATAGGTTTCTGGATGAATGGTTGGACCTTTGCCTCTTTAAAGTTAGCTGAACTGTTAATTCCACCAAGAGGGATATGGTGCCCACCCTCTGGAACCTCAGCCCTCCAGAGATCAGATTGGCTCCAACCCCACTGGCCTTTCATAGGGCCTTGAAGACCTGGTTCTGTGCCTAAGGCTGGGGCCCTGGGTGTGCAACAAAGCCTGTCTCCTGGTTGTGTTAATGGCTGTCTATGATTTTCCCGGCTGCTGTGTGTTTTTATTTTGTATATGTGGTTAGGATTTGAGGGTTGGTGGGGGGTCTTCAGGGCCTCTTCTAGCTCTCAGATTCTATCATTCTGTGATTCTATGCCTGTCTCCCTGTGGTCAGAATATCAATCCAGAAAGTGTGCTCATTTTCAGTGATTGTGGGTGCACCATTGGAAGACCTGAAGGACCAGGCTGGGGGCAGATTATCATGGAGAAAATCTATGTGGTCACTAAGAGTCGACACTGACTTGATGGCACATAATCAATCAATCTGATTACTTGGAATGACTCTGCTTCTTTTACTAGGAGTCTCACAGAGAGCAGACCTGATCTTTCTTGGCAATAAAAACAGCCAGCTAAAGTTGTACTATGCCTCCGTGGGGGCATGACAAAGGCAAGAACGCTGTGTGTCTGTCCAAACACTTTCCATATCTGACTCAACAGCTGGAACTGATCCACCAGGACTGGATGTCCTGGGCCAGGGTGATCAACCTCGCCTTCAGCTTGTTGTAGATCGGCTGCAGCAACCTTGAGGGAGATACTGAACAGGGAGAAAGCAACTGCTTCTGCATGGTTATCTTGCATGGCTGATGTTCAATCAAGCTCTGAGAGACCTTTCCAGCCCTCCTGGTTCTCCCGCTAGCATCCAAACCCCCAGCTCTCTGGCACTGGAAGAACCTGACTCTGCTGTGCACAGCGGGATGAGACAGAAGAAAGGAAAGAACCCCTGCCTGAGCCATCTCAGTGTGCCCCAAGACTGATGGGAACTCCAGCCCCGCTAGCCAGAATGCCCAGCACCCTGAATTAATCCGTCTTCCTCTTCCCTGGAGAGGAAAAGAGATCAGGATGAAAGCTCCCTCATCTCCTAGAAGGTGAAGGCTGGAAAGGATCTCCTCATGCAGGAATTCACCACCACTGCCTCCCCGAGAGGTGGCCCTTCAGCCTCTGTTTCAGCATTGCCAGCCATTGGCTTCTGCAGAGGCACAATGCTGTGACATCGCTCTTGTCCCACCAAGACCCTGCAGATCCACTGCCTTCAGCCATGGAGAGTCTACCACCTCCTGATGCAGCCCCTTCTGTCACTGAAGACTTCTTAGCATTAGGACATTCTTCCTGACCTCCAGCCCAAGTTTCCCTCCTTCCCCGTAAACCTATTGTTTCTTGTCTTACCCTGTGAAAAAGCTCTGAAGAATTCTGCCCACATCTTCTATGTGATTGCCCATCAGAGACTTGAAGACGGTGGTCACGTCTCCCCGCTGTCTTTCCTTCTCCAGGCTAAACCTACCCAGTCCCCCCAACCAACCTTCCTTTTTCCTTCCAGGCCCTGCGTCATCTTGGCTGCTTTCCTCCGGACACCCCTGTTTGTCAACGTCCTCCCTAAAACTCAGTGCCAGAACTGGATGCCACCAAGGAGAACAGCCCCCACCAGGTTTAACCCAGAGGCCCCTTTCAGACACCTGGGCAGTGAGGCTTTTAAGGAGAAGCGTGCGCAGCTGCCCAAACTGCGAAAAGGAAAACTGTTTGGAACCGGAACCAATGAGCGTGGCAATTTTCTTTTGCCCTGCCCCCCCACCCCCATGGCTCAAAGGTCGGCTGTTCCAGAGATCCTATTCGGAAGTGACCATCAGCGAGAGATCCCAAGGCAACTGGGCCACAGGAGGTTGTCCTTCCTTTCTCTTTATCTGGTCCAGCCAACAGCCCACCCTGCAAAGATCAACTGGTATAGATCTAATGAAGTCATATTTTTCTTGACTTTCTTCAACTATGCAGTGGTACTTGCCCGCCACACTGCTCCAAGGCTTTCTTCTCTAGCAAACCCATAATGACCCCTTAGTGACAGAGCCCACCCGGTCTCATATCCTAGCAACCTAGCATTTTTAGGTTTTGATTTATTTAGTCAGCAAACCTTGAGTAACAGGCAGGGGTCAACTTCCTCTTCTCTGGCACATAGGCCCTGAATTTGCAGTTTCAGCCCCTTAGTAAGCTATTTGTATTTTATATTCTCAAGCATTAGGCTAAGCTTTGAAGCCTCTCTGAACCCAAACTGTTTTATTAGTTACTTTTCTCCTTCATCCTCTTTCGAAGAGGCCTGTCCTCAGTAGCACAATTAAACCCTGATCACATCCATCTTCCCAGCCCATAGTGAAACAGCCTTAAGTCACCGTTAGGTGTGCCAGCGTAAGTGTAGTCTTTCCCCCTTATTCTGACACTGCCCAACAATAGCTTCAGGGTGTGTAAAAGCTGTAACACCTTGTCTCCCATTACCTTGGATGTGAGTGTGAACAGCCCCTTCCCTCTAGTCACTAGCCAGTCTCCCCTCCATCAGGCCTTGTTTCCCTGCCTGTCTCCCTTGCCCCACCTCAGGCGCTGCTTCCAACCAGGTGGAGAATAGAAGAGCAGGGCCCCACTGCTTTGTGGAGTGTGTGTGTATTCCCTACTTACAAGAACCTCCAGTACTACAAGATGAAGTTAGATCAACACTCCAGTGGTTACCAAGTCGGAAGGCTACAGGAACTGATGGAAGACCCACTGAAATATGGAAAGCAACAGAAGAAGAGTCAGGCAAGGTTCTAAATCCAAAATCATTCTTATTTTGGTAGCAAAATAAGTTTAGGATCATCCAATGCAGATTAGAGCCCTAAATGCAAAAAGAGATGCTAGATGTTCAAGCTGGCTTTAGAAAAGGCCGAGGAACACGGGACGTTATTGCCGATGCACGCTGGATAACTGAGAAGGCCAAAGAATACCAAAAAGTAGTCAGGATGCGGTTCATCGATTATAGAAAGGCCTTCGACCGTGTTGATCACATCAGGCTGTGGAATGTGCTCAGAATAAAGGGAATCCCAGATGATCTCCTTGTCCTCATAAGAAACAGGTCAGGAAGCCGCAGTTCGGACAGAACACGGCAAAACAGTCTGGCTCCAGGTTGCAAAGGAGCGCAATGAGGCCGTATACTCTCCCCTTATTTATGCAACCGATATACAGAATATATATTAAGGGAAGCTGGATTGGAAGAAGATGAGCGTGGTTTTAAAACTGGAGGAAGAAGCATGAATAACCTGCGCTATGCTGATGACATTACCCTGATAGCCGAAAATGCAAAGGATC